CTGTAGTTTAGATAGTTTAATTTGCTTTGATCTAATAAAAATACCGGTGAGGCTGCCAATACATGCAAAAAAAAAAATCCAAATTGTCAATCAAAGTTTACTACATTAATGCCAGAGTACATAATAGATAATACCATTTCTTCTTCATAGTAAACCTGAACCATTTGTTGTATCAAATCAGCGATGTGAATTAATTCAAAAAATTCTACCAAAGGTGCAAGGCCATTCGAAGTGGAATCAGAGTTAGGTTTATATTCTCCAAGGTGTTGCGTGGCACTTCAGAAAAGTCAATTACAAGAATATATAAATGAAATATAATCGTATAACAATTGAATTAATTTCTTACGTGTCAAACCCCGATTTGATATGTTTCAATCCAAGTATTCGAAGAAACACTATAAAAATACCCTCCAGGATATCTTTGCTAAATACAATAAACAAAAATTTATTATATGCCCAAATACATGTATAAAAGATTAAGCAGTAAATAAAATCCGTTACACTTTGTAACCCATCTTGTCCGGATATCCCAAGAACACACTGATTCTATGTAAAGCATTCTTATTGGCGTGTATCATATGTAAAGTCATCTCCAGGCTTAACAGCTGCTGCAGTTCATCAAATTTAATATTCAATAATGCTGCTTGCAAATCTGATGTGTTAGATGTACTATTTAAGCTCTTGGTGCTGTGAGAACTCGCGGTACTGCCTCTTCTATCAAAATGATAACTCATTTGTGACGACATGGATGAAGTTGAACTCCTTGAACGTGGCGCAGGCAACATAAGAATTTTTCGAAAATATGTTAGGTAATCACGTTTATAAATTTCCCGATTAGAGTTGATGAGAATGGTCTGTTGTCTTTCCGATGTTTTCTCAATCAGCTAACGAAAATCATAAAACGTCTGGTTACTATTACAGACGTGATAGTGAAACTTAATTAAATCATGCCCGCCGTAATATTATCATCAAATATCACCTTTTGATTCCATTTCTCAATTTGCTCATCGCATTGTGATTTGACGGTTGCGAACTCCGTCCTTAAATATTCATTCATGAAAATTTCAAACATATGGTGCATCATATTCTCGGCATTTATTTTATCCATACTAGGTTCGACTTCTTTCCAAAGAACTTCTGCTACATGTGTACAACGATTATAAGCTGCGACTACAGTCTTGAGGTATAGAATAATATCTCGATTACGAGCTTCTTCTAAAACTTGGGAGATGTAATCTGTGATCTTAAAAAAATTATTGTTTGACTTATCTATCGGGAAAATTTAAAATTTAAAAGTAAACGAAGTAGCAATTTACCAAATCTTCAAAAACACGTTCAACAAAATTATGAAAAACGCCTGTATCTGGTGGAAATATCTTGTCTATCAAAGGAGCTTGCTTTTTTAATTCATCTTCTACGTAGCTAAAAAATTCTGACATGGGCGCAAAATTTAATTCTTCATTAGATAATGCCGGAATTTGCCTAATTGAACGAAATTTCGATTTAATTTTTAGTATTAATGTTGAAACCTCAATTAGATGCTACACGTACACAAAATTATCCATTGGATCATATAAATAATCAAAAAATATGGAATTTTTCTGTATGTAAACCTGAATGCATGTTATACCTCCATTCAAATTTAACAGCATAGCGGCCCATTTCTTAATATAAAATATAAAGAATTAAATATTTTTAATAAGTTGACTGTTACATACATTTGATTGTTTAGCCCTTAATTACCAACCTTCATTTCATTTAAATTATGAGCATCATACGCTAATTCAAAATGATGAAGCGCCGAATTTTCAAAATATTCAACAATGGTCTCAAGATTACTATTGATCTATAAGCATAAAGAAATGTGAATGATTTGAATCCTGATCTATTTAAAGTGTGATTAAACGTACCTCATCTGAATCATAAGTGACATTCAACTTTCCAAAATTAGTCAACCGAGCTAACATCTTAGCTTGATTAGATGGATCTGTGTACTCTTTGAATAAACGACTGTCCTTTCGCTTAGTTCTAAAATCTATGTAATAAGGTAGTAATGCTATGTAGATTTTCTTGAAAATTTCTCTTGCAACGCCAGTAGATGCAGTACGAGACTTTCGCAAAAGAGGATTGAGTGAGAGTCCTGGAACCAGATTCAACTTCTTTTGTGATTCCGTAATTGTTGTATCAAATTCTAACGACTGATCGGTAAAACTATTTCTTTTATTTACTGGTGATGAAGTTGGCGAATTGTTCTTTTTATTAGATTTTCCTCTGATTTCATTTTGTGTATTTATGAATAAATCATCTATAGAAATGTCCATAACATTATCATAGATTTTGTTTACACCCAGTGTTTTCAGATGCTGCTCCCATAATTCATCGTCATAAACTAATATTTTAAAACGGCGGCAGGCACGCGCAAAATTTGTGAGAGAGGCTATTGGAAGATATTTAAGAATGCGAAGCAACAAATCAGGTGGAAACGTTTTGGGGGCTACTGGTTTCCGTGGTGGTGGTGTTGGCTTTGATACACCGAGGCGTTTTAAGGAAATTTTTGAAATAGAAGGAATCGAAGGAATTGAAAAATCAGAAGATAAGGTTTTAAAAACAAACTTTTCCATTTTCTTATCAGCTTATTTACAGAATAACTTGACTTGTCTAAGCTTATAAAAGCTTTTCACAGTTATAGGTGTAGTTAAA